CTTAATTGTTCCTTGACTAGATCGGCGAAACACTTTCATTCATTCATATATAATGATGTTTGTGAGACATTGCAGTGGTCCTATTTGCAAACAAACCACGAACAGCTTTTGCCCCAGCACTCGCTGTCCTTAAAGCAAAAGTTTCCTTCAGCGAGGCATTCAACGCATTTTCCACTGCCAAACCAGTCCAAATCGCAGATAAGCTGGCCGCAACATCTATGGAAAACCGTTTCACTGCAAAATTCTCCTTCGGCTTTGCATGCCTCCTCGCCTAGGAAAACAAAATGTCAGAAAGTTTAAATAATCCGAAATTAGAACATCCAACGTCATTGTCATATGAAAATAGAAGGGCATTCCACATTACATCTTGAATAGTTAAGCGAAATTCGTTAAATTTAAGTATAGCAGTGTAAACTTCTTTGGACCAGCGGAATCTTCGGTTCTAAATTAATTCAGACCTAATGTTGAGGAATAGAAACGAGATCATTCTATTTACGCTGCTCAGATTCGAATAAATAATCGCGCGTTATTCGTCAAGTGCTACAAGAATGTCAATAGTACAGTAGGGCTCAGAATTCGTGTAACATGTCGACATATGCGAAAGATTGATACTCTCTCGATTATCGGCATTGAGTAAGGTTTAATACTGATTATCATGTAGTCTATTTTGAAGCCATTTTAATCACTTTAGGATGCCAGCTTAGTATCGAGCTTCCTTCTGGTCGCTTACAATACGTATGTACTGTAAAAAGTGGCTGCTTAAGTAGTATGTCTTTTTATCATTGATTTTGACTGTTTTGATAAATTCAAATATATTTTATGGAAAACATAAACGAAAAATTATTTCCTGTATTCGTTTGTTAGAAAATTACAACTTTTTAAATTTGATACCTAAAGAAAGAGTATCTTTCGGTTTTAAAAAAGTTTCTAATCATGAGCTTTTTTAGGATTGTGAGTTATTCATTCATGATACGTCGTGTCCGTCAATTTATAAATGTTGTCTATAGTTTATACGGCATGCTCCACTTATATTGGAATATTTTATGAGAACTATGCGACTTCTTCCTCAAATCGTAGGCGAAAACTTAATTTTCCTTAAGCAGGATGTACACAGTGCGCAATTTGTAAACTTTGAATTAAAGTGTAGCAGACAGTACGTTTCAAATTTATTCGCCAATTTAGAAACTGTTTTAACATGCAGATTGACATATAGAGGTTCCAGAGAGAAGGGGTGACCACTGACGATTCGAACTGATCATATCTATTTCACAGACAACAGCGGAATGGGTGTTTTGGGTCTACACATAACCTATTTGTGTATGTGTGGTGAATCATTAGCTATTCAAAAAGAAAGTGGTTACAAGGCACACCAAAAATTTATATCTCATATATTAATTAGGCCTACCATTTCGTTTACTCGATCGATGATCGTACTGCTTCGTAATTCAGAAAAAAGTGCCTGCATTTTAAAAGTGTTACATAAAACTGACTGAAAGTTCAACTTAGTAGCCGTTGTAGATCATGTTCACCTCATGATCACACTGATTGTTAAGGCCTGCGAATATGCAGGGCACATGCGAGGCAACATCTAAATCTGACACAGCGAAGTGGATTTTACGATGACTGGAGCCTCACTGGGGGGACGCGTTCAACTGGTTTGGCGTCGATGGATATTTTGTCTGTAACTTATTGACTTCAATATGTAGTGCCCGATCTTGGCATTAGTTGATTAGCAGACTCAGAGAGTCTACTGGTGCTTGAATAGAAATATTGCGGTGGACTGTCTGAGCGCTATTTTCTTCACCATAAACAATTTGGCACGCCGGAGTCCATCACGCTGCATTAAAAGCCGTGGCTTTGAAGGTCGCCAACTGTAGCTACAACTGAACCCTCCCCTCTGGGCGAATATTCTGGCTTTACTGGCCTCAACGAGACTCCAAATTAGTAGGATCCAGGCAATCCCTATTTTGCTTTCGTGAAATCCTGAACAATTGTACCACTATCAGGACACTGGACCAATGTTGGTGAGGGTAAAGAGAACGCGGTGGATGCAGTGGTAGTATCTTTTCATTATAAACTAATTTTAGCTTCATTTATCATCCCTGTGTCCACACTGCTCTGGGCCCTTTCTACATCGAGTAGAGTCGCTGTTCTTCCAACATCATGCACTAAACTTCTAGGCTCAGTATTTGAATGATACCTTCGTCGTCATCGAACGGGATTGCGTACTCACGTTCAAGGAACGTTTCAACAGCGCCTTTCGGGCATCTAAGTTACGATGCAGGGGGAGCAAAACAAGAAACTGGTCTCACTTGGTGTCCTCGTCCGTCGCAAAGATTATGGTGGTGAAAAGAACAAAGTCAGAACAAAGAACAAAGAAAGCCACAAATACGATGCAAATACTGAACTTCAACAGCAACCACTTAATCAGCCACAAACGCAGTTACGGAAGGACGCTTTATCGGCGTGTTGAGACGCACTGCAGTGAACCAGAAGACAAAGTTACCAAACTGCAATATATTCGACGTATGTTCAGAAAAAACGGCTACCCGCACAACTTCGTCAACCAGTGCATGCGCAAACGAGATGAACGACAAAAATCACACCAACCCAGAGGCCTTGGCGCCTTTTTACACCACTTGGACTTGGAGTCGTACAAAGACCGGAGGCAACCATTAGGCGTCCGATAATGAAACCGAAAAACCCACCGCCGCGACAAGAAAACTTTGGTGTCTGTTCAGTTGTGGACTAAGCAACTTCGTCGGAGAGACTGAGATACTTTTCCAGATGTTATCTGCCAAACACGCGGCAGCGGTGCGAAGAAATGACGCCATTTCTCAAGCCGCGGCTTACTAGACGAGACCCAGCCACACATTCATATTTTATCAGGCCGAAATTCTCACCAGAGGTGACAATCGTGTGGGCCGCGATTTTCTCCAGTCATGGTTTACGGGCCCTCGGGCTATAAATAATTGAAATGAGCTGTCCAACCCATACCCGATGCTGAAGCTCTGTTTGGCCAAATTAATTCGCCACTTAGGGCGGGCACAGGCAAATGTGTCTTTTCACCCCAACGCCAAGGAGCCAGACGGCCGAGCGATCGTCCCGCTCAAATTCAACATGGGTGCTGAAAGTTCAGTAGGTCACGATCCGCGTGCCGACCATCAAGCAAGTAGCATACAACCGGTCGACTATTCTCGATAGGGGCACCGTTAATTGCCATAAGTGTGCAATAGCATAGCGACTGTATCCAATAAATACTACAACGCCCTGTGTATCAATAACGCGTTTCTGCTATTGTCTCTGATGATGGATCCACGACAGCATCCGAAACATCAGTTGATCACATCTGCTTTTTTTCGGCCACCATCGAACTGTCTTATTCAACAATCTCCTAACTGGAGAAATATTTAGCTTGAATGTAATTTTAATATTTAGGTTTTTTTTAATATGTTCAGACTGTCATTTAAGTAGATCTATGCGTTGCCTAGACACAGTTTTAAAACCGAGACATCTCGTGCTTTGGAGTGGATATTTCCGTATAATGTCAACTGTAGTAGCGTGTGAAGTTCTTGTTTATTGTCATTCACTATGATTTGTTGAAGTAAATAGATATAATACATGGCAGACGCCGTTATATAATGTTATTAAATGAAACCTGGATGCACTCTAGAGTGTTCTTGAACCGAAAATTACGGGACATTGTTATTTTATTCTTGATGATCCGAATTAATATGAAAGGTGTTCTGAGCTTCTAAATAACTGAAAGTCAGCATACAAACATGCCACAGCACTTAACTCCGGAGTTGAACAAAAAGTTAATGAAATCGTTTGGCTATCCAAAGAAGGGTGAAACTGAGAGTTTAACTTCTTTCCATTTTAGAAATCAGCATATACAAAAATAATAGCAGTTCAAAACGGTCCTAAATCTTACTTAGCACAATTCTAAATCTGAGCACTTGGAGTGAACGAAGACTTTTTGAAGTGTACATAATCATTTCGAGTTTAATTCAGCCAATGTATATTGTTCACATACTGTTGACTAACTCGCAGCCTGAGCAAGAAATATCTTACAGCATGGCCCGAGCACATTTTGCCCGAAAGTTTAAACTGCAGTTTAAGTGATTATCGAACTAGTCAGTTAATGTCGCATCATTTTAAAGCAATTTATTAGAAAAACAACTTCAATTTAGCCACTGTTCGTCACTGGCGAAAATAATCCCGAGAGGATAAAACATGACTGCTGGTCTAGTGGTGAACTGCGACAGCTGGTGTCTAGCAGGAAGGCTTCGATCACTATACCCACTTGATGAGGGAAAACTTTACAAGCGATTGAATGTTGCCAATACAAACTATTATTATGGATTTTGGCAGACTAATCATGCAAGCAATTGGGAATAATTATAATGGTAGTAAGGACAAATTATGTTCATTCAACAAGGCATATAGAGTAATCACATACCGGAGACGAAATTCATGTGAAGAATCCAAACCGCTAATACTTATGGTGCGAACATCGTCCGAATTTAATGCTGACATTTAAAATGTGGCCTTTTATATTACGGAAATGGATGGAGGAGGCGTCCAGTGACAATTTTATAGGGTGGGGTAAGGTTGTTTTCAATGAATCTAGGGATAATGAAGTATATACAATGCGAAATCCTGTCCAAAAGTCGTTTATTTACATTCAAAATTGTGGTCCTTTTTATATATTACATATTATGCACACATCGCCAAAATGAAACTTTCCTATTAGCAAGAGAAACTCGTCCTAATTATGGATACAGTTTCAAAATACCAACTGTTCCCTCATCGGTGTTTATAATTACTCCCGTTTCACTTCCGAAGATTCTTTTATCCCCGAGCACACAGTTTCCTGAATCAAAAAATGGGGCTTCTGGTGTTTTGGATTTAGTTTAATGATCAGAAAATTTTCACGGTCCATCTTATTGAACATGTTCATCTAGTTATAGTGGTCAGCAAATGTGAGCCGCTTGTCATGAAGATGTGATCGTTCTTTTAAGCAACCGTTTCAATCAGCATTTTCTAATTAAACTGGCGATTAACTCGGAAGAAGACCAACCGATGCGATTCAGTTAAATCCTATAACCCTATCCCTTCGCGATAAACGGGTAAAGATTCCACTGGTTTAAATACACTGTATGCAGATATTATGAAACACGTGATGTCATTATATTCCTCAAAATGTTGGGTGACCTGCGGTCTCCTAGGCGGCCATTTTGTTTTAAGCATATAAGACATTTTTCAGTTGGAAGATAAACAACTATGTGGGGTTCGTTTTACTGACGTTAAGGTACTACGCACTTTTCCATGATCATCTTGTTCTTATTTTAGCTTCCGCATCATATATAGAGAGGTGCGTCTTAGGTTACGATTACATCATGTTTCCACGTGATGGAATTTATTTTATGCAGTGACCAAGCGTTGAAATGATATGGCACAAGGTAACGAGAGTTTACATTTAGTCTCAAAGCACATGTTCTCTTTAAAGTCAGCTCAGTCACAATTTAAACTTGTTCTATCACAATGAAATTGTAGTTGAGCCTACGATAGCTTTTTTTAAGACAAGTTCAAAGGCGTTCGCCTATCCTCCTCACAATAGACTGATACCAATACTGATATCAGAAGTAAAGAAGACGCGTAAGAATGTATCAGAGTTTCAACATCTACATATTTGTTCTGAAACCATGACAGGTACGTGTACACACTTTGAGAAACTGAGTAGAGTGCGCAGGCTAGTTTAATTTTCACTTCAGATGTCTGCCATGTCATGCAGTGAACTGATCAAATCACAGCCTCGAGAAGGGATTAATTAAAAGCCAACGATTGTACGTGGATACAGGAAACGCGTGTAATATAGGCTGCTTATGGGGCGCTATATTCCAGAGACCCTATGGGTAGGTTTAAATTATGTTTTGGGTTTAAACCTCAATACAATGATAGAGTTCAAGTTATGGTCAAAATGTCGTTAGTCTAAATTTTGTTTTCGGATAGGTTTAACTGTTGAGTTGGTTTTGCGTGATGGCCATTGGAATATCTACCGATCGTGTAGTCAAGTCTAAGACCGCAAGTATTAGCTAAGGGGGGAGGGCTATCCCAAGTGCATGGCCCATCGTGTTCAAAGCATTTGAGATAACCTGACACATCATCCTAAGAAACGAAAATGCTTACATTACGGGGAATTTACCTTCTAATGAATTTGAAAATTTGATCGAAAAGATAATTTGGGAAATGAGAAACGAACTTTATTGTAAATTTTCGATGCTGGCACATCAGGTCATCGTCGGACTTGAGGGACATGCATGAAGAACATTGCGAATTTTCAAACATGCCGAAAAATTGACAATGATTCGTCATCCATGATCAATAGTAGGCTCTGGTGGTTGGCGCTTTTCCAAGGGCTTTTTTGAGGTTTATGTACATTGAATCCAAATCAACATGCCTATTGAGGCATGATTCGTTAGAGTAAATGGCTTCTAAAAGTTCGCGGCCTTTCTTATATGGGCAGGAACAGGTGGTCGCGCCTCATTAGCGCTAACTGATGTTCATGTATGCGTGTAGAGGTGGATATTCCTGTTTGTCAACAATAAATTGCATCTCAGTCGCCGCAAGGAATTTTGTAAACGATCTCTTTTCTGTTCAAATAGCTAACCTTATCCTTAGGGTGAGCAAGCTGATTTCGAAGCGTGATCGTTGGCTGGTGCGCCACTTGGATCTGGTACTTCCTCAGGTGTCTTTCAACGATTTCAAGCACTGCTTTAAAAATAACCCAAGGATACGAGATTTCATCTCACTATGGTCAAAACATACTTAGGGCATTCATTTCCAATACCCACTTCAGACTCCAAAAATTCAAAGTTTATAAAGAACAATGCATGGATTTCTGCCGAGAAAAACTCCCTTCACACTTATTTGAATCAATAAATGAGACGATTAATCGGTTTCCAACACTGAACGACAGAGGAAGAGAGAAGGGCAAAAGTAGCTTATGTAGCCCCACTCATATATCCCTAGTCCCAGGATTTTGTCCTGCAAAAACGGTGGTTAAAGAGTTTTGTGGGGTGGGGGAATAGGATAGGCAGATAAGGAAATTTTTAGAAGTAAGTTTTAAGTGAAAAAATGTAGAAAAAGTTGCTTTCCGCGGCCGCTCGGAGCAGGTTGTTCCACATGTAAATTAAAGATGTGCGCGGCGCTTCGCGCCGCAGACTTAACTGATCTAATTCTAGAAAGGTAAGTTGGACCACAGGTAAGTGGAAGTGGACAACCTCCCAACCACCATTTCAATTTTTCGTGAAATTCAAGCAACCTCCAGTTTGATAATCGGGTTTTTACGCAGTAAGTTAAATAATAATACAGATTAAGAAAATGTACAGATATAAATCAACAACACTTCTAAATACAGTAAAATAAAAATGCTTGCATTTATGACAATATATTCCACTGCGTGTCCTAATTTCCCGCCCATAAACCCGATAAACAATGTTTTCGTGGGAAAACATGCAGGTTGTAGGGATTAGTGAGTGGGGCTACATAAGCTACTGTTGTCGAGAGAAGTTTTAGACAAGAAATGGGTGGCCATTTACAAACCGTCTCACGCAATCCAGAATTACTCAACAAATATCACAAACCCGTCCTCGAGAGATCTCACGATAGCCGAAATAAAGTACTTTCTACGGGAAGGAAATGCAATCTTACGGATTCAATATATCTAGGCTTTCTTGCAAATTTGGAATCCATAATATAATCATAAAATCTCACGGATGGTGAACGGTTCAAAATCCGGAATAACAGTGTGCGTGCCCTAAAGGACCTAACCCCTTTTCAGCATTATCACAAGAAGAAAAAGGCACTACAATCTCTGAAAAGGGACAAAACCATTGTCATTTTTCCTGCAGATAAAGGAGTCATGACTGCCATCCTGAACCAAAAAAGATGACGACGAAAAGATTCTATTATTATTAGAAGACAAATCAACATACAAAACCCTTAGTGCGGACCCCACCAAAACACAAAATGGAAATATTGAAAAGGCACCTGAACGTCTTACAGGGAAGACGCAAATATCAAGAGATATTGCCAAGTCCCTGAGACAAACCGAACCAAACCTAGATAAAATCTATGGACTGCCTAAAACACACAAGCCTGATGCACCACTTTGATCGGTAGTATCATTAATAAGCGCACCTAATTACAAAATCTAAAAGTGGTTATTTCGAAAGCTCCACCTATTGAAAAAAGATTGTGAAGCAGTAATCAACAATAACATAGAATTTCTGAACAAATAACAAGGACTTGAAATAACAGCCAATGAGCTAATGGTATCATTTGATGCTGTCGCTATCTTCATCTCGATACCGTTACATTCAGCAAGGCAATACACAGAAGAACTACTTAATTCCTACTAACTTAACGTTCCTGTGTCTGTCCTAATTAAACTCTTAGATCTATGTTTGGAAACTAATTTTTCGTTTGCACAACAATACTATTAACAGATAAAAGGGGCCCCGATGGGGTCAGCCATTTCAGGCTTCTTGGCTGAAATAACAATGCAAAACGTAGAAAATATGGCCCTACCGCTAGGTAACCGCAAATTGTGGATAGGCTATGTCGAGGACACGTTTGTCATTGTTAAAAAAGGCCAGTTGGAAACATTATAAAACATCATTAATTCAACGATACCAGGAAGCACATTTACGTTCTAAAAAGAATTTAACAATAAACTCCCATTTTTTGACGTCCTCGTACAGCGAAATACTGAGTGAAGCTTTCAAAACTCTGTTCACCGATGTTATCCTCCATTAC